AACTTCTGAGCTCAAGTAATCCTTCTGCCTCAGCATCCTAGAGTACAAGGATTACAGGTATGAGCCACCACACCTGGCCTATTTATTTATTTAGAGATAGAGCCTGACTTTGTTGCCCTTGGTAGAGTGCTATGGCATTATAGCTCACAGCAACCTCAAACTCTTGGGCTCAAGCAATTCTCTTATCTCAGCCTCCCAAGTTGCTGGGACTACAGGCACCTGCCACAACACTCAGCTATTTTTAGAGACGAGTTCTCACTCTGGCTTAGACTGGTCTCAAATCTGTGAGCGCCTTGGCCTCCTGGGCCTATTTATTTTTTTAAGACAGGCTTTTACTCTGTCACCTAGGCTAGAGTCCAGTGGCATCATCATGGTCACTATAACCTCAAATTCCTGGTTTCAAACAATCCTCTTGCCTTAGCCTCCTGAGTAGTTGGGACTATAGGCATGTGCCATCATTCCTGGCTAACTTATCTACTTTTTGTATAGATGGGGGCCTTGCTCTTGCTCAGGCTGATCTTGAATGCTAGTAGCAAGTGATCCTACCGCCTCAGCCTTCCAAAGTGGTAGGATTATAAGTGTGAGCCACTGTGTCTGGCCAGTCATGATTTTATCTAAAAAAAAAAAAAATCTTTAATATAGGAACCATTCCTTCTCATCAAAGACACAAATTCATAGTGACTACATATTTTAAATATATATATACACACACGTATATATATGTATATATAGACACACATACACACATACACATATATATGACTCTGGCTCAGATGAGGGAAGTCTGTGCAGTTTCATGCTTCAGTTTCAGCTTAGATGCCTATTTTCTTCTCTTTTCTTTCTTTTTCTTTTTTTTTTACAGACAGAATATCACTTTGTCGCCCTTGGTAGAGTGCTGTGATTTCACAGCTCACAGCAACTTCCAGCTCTTTGGCTTAGGTGATTTCTTGCCTCAGTCTCCCCAGCTGGGACTACAGGCACCCGCTATAATGCCCGGCTATTTTGTGTTGCAGTTTGGCCAGGGCGGGGTTTGAACCTGGCACCCTCAGTATATGGGGCCGGCGCCCTACTCTCTGAGCCACAGGCGCCGCCCTAGATGCCTATTTTCAAGGCTAATCATTTAAAGATGGGCACATGCCCTGACTACAACCTTTAGCACAAGAAAATTTATTTGCTGAGCCTGGCATCTGAGGGTGAAATTCAAGGCTCATAAACATCAAAAAAACAAAACAAAGCCAAGAAAAACTAATATTTTACTGTTAAGGAGAGACAGTCACCTAATAGATTATAGGTGTTTATACCTTCAGAAAAAAATTCTTGTTTCGTTACCTTTATCAAGAGATGCTCCAGCCATATGGTAAAAGCTCAATGCAGTGTCTACATCATTAATATTTTTTAGAAAAGTAAAGAAGTTCTCCACTTCCTGAAACGTCAGACCCTGAAAGAGGAAAGACAGTAAGGTAGCTGTGACAAAAAGCAGCACAAAATGCAGAAAATTAGGTAATTATTCATGTCTATAAATTAGAAATTTATGCCCATGTCTCAAATAGAAACTGAATATATTAGTCAAGGAATGTCAAATTTGTACAAAACAAAACTCTAATTTTACCCTAAGAAAGGCAAACAGGCAAAATCTGACAAAGTTGCTTACAATGATGGCTGAATATCTTCTATGAAAATAATTCATATGTGCTCTCCAATTAGTCACACCATTTATGATGACACTTCCTAAATGGCCTGTAGCTACATGATCCATTCTCTACCTTAAGAAGTAGTAAGATCAGAGTGAGGACTTCCATTTTAATTATCTGCTCACAGGCCAGCTAAGCATTTTTGAGGATTAAGCTAATTAAAGAATCACTAAAGTCAGTGATATACAAGGAAAGGGTTTCAATATTTAGCAAAGCCCAAGTACTAGGAAAGTTATTTATTTATTTATTTATCTCACTTTGTCATCCTCAGTAGAGTAATGTGGTGTCACAGCTCACAGCAAACTCCAGCTCTTGGACTTAGGTGATTCTCTTGCCTCAGCCTCCGGAGTAGCTGGGACTACAGGCATCTGCCACAGTGCCCAGCTATTTTTTTGTTGCAGTTTGGCCAGGGCCGGGTTCGAACCTGCCACCCTCGGTACATGGGGCTGGCGCCCTACTCACTGAGCCACAGGCTCCACCTGAGAAAGTTGTTTTATCTCAATTTAAAGGCTATCGATGAAGTAATTTGCCACTTAGCTTTAATCTGATGAAATTCTTTGAATGAAGAAATCTTTTCAAAAGCTGTTCAAAGAATGAACAGTTCAATGAAACTCAAATTCTACTTTCTATGATGGCTCAAGAGATAAAGTACCTGAGATTCCCTTACAGGGAGGGAAGTTTGTCCCATTTGCCTTTCCCCCACTTCTCACACATCATGCTGTGATGGAAATGTAATACAGTTTCTAAGAAGTGAAAATGCTGGGAAAGGCCCCTAGACTAGGGTTACCAGATTTTTTTTTTTTTTTTTGAGACGGAGCTTCAAGCTATCCCCCTGGGTAGAGTGCTATGGCATCACAGCTCACAGCAACCTCCAACTCCTGGGCTCAAGCGAGTCTCCTGCCTCAGCCTCCCAAGTAGCTGGGACTACAGGCGCCCGCCATGACGCCTGGCCATTTTTTGGTTGCAGCCATCATTGTTGTTTGGCGGGTCCGGGCTGGGGATTCGAACCCGCCACCTTAGGTGTATGTGGCTGGCGCCTTAGCCGCTTGAGCCATAGGCGCCGAGCCGGGTTACCAGATTTTAACATCTGTAAGGCGGGACAACATGGAGCAGGGGTGGAGCGGGGGCGCGGGGCAGGGGACCTGGCAGGGCAGGGCCTGACAACAAGGCAAACTTTGATAAGCAGTTCTCGATAATCACTTCTCAGCAACTATTTATTACAGTTTAACATTATAAAATTAACAAAAATAATATAAAACTCATATTCTGGCGAAATAGCCATATGGCAGCCGAAAGCCGTATATTCCCTTCTTGTTCTCCAGCCCGTTCGTGCATTCTTTCCAAAAATCGGGACTTTTTTAAAACGCTGCAGGACACAGGACAAATTGTTGAAAATCGGGACGTCTGGTCACCCTACCCTAGACACTAAGGTTAATGCCTTTTAACAAAGCATCAGGTGGATTGCAGATGTTGACTGGCTCCTTTTCCAATTTCCATTTCCCTAAACTACAGAGCCCAGGAACCTACACCAGGAACTCAATAATAAGGATCTTAGTACAGACAATCCATAGTTCTTTCTTGGTATTCTCCAAACTGGGTCAATTCTGTCCTTATCATATTATCAATAAAACTATAGAGCTAAAGTACTATTTGTATAATTATGTCACATGATCTTTTATAATTTTTTCCCTTAGAAACATAGAATTTAAAACCTTTTTATAATGGAATATGATGACCATATTGAAAAATACATAAAATATAAATGTACAACTTAACAAACACCGATATAATCTCCATTCATGTCAAGGAACAGACGATTATCAGTACCCAGAAGCCTCCTCCCTTCCCCCAACACACTTCTTCCCCATTCCCACCCCACCCCACCCCAATGATAATAATCACTATTCTGACTTTTAGGGGATTCATTTCCTTGCTTTTTTTTTTTTTTTAAAGATAGTATTACTAGCACGTGAAGCATTTATTCAAACATCTATGGCATGCCTATTAAGTATTAATACTAAGTGCCATAATTTTTGGTAGTGAACTGGAAACAATATAACTTATATTATATACTTTTTTCCCTACTTTGAGGCCATTTCCTTTGCCTTGACTTAAGTGTGCCCAGAGTTAGGTCTTATTCCTTATATGGATGCCACAGTATGCTATTCAATGAAAGCTCTAGGCTGGAATCCACCTTATAGAGGAGAACACCACTTTTTGAAGCACAGGTTCTATAATATCACTGCTTGTGGATAGATACAGTGAGCATTCGTTCCCCTCTATCAAAAAACATGTAAAGGTGGAGGCAACCCAAGTATCTATCAGCAAATGAATTGATAAATAAGATGCAGTATATAGGGGGCAGTGCCTATGGCTCAAAAGGGTAGGGCGCCAGCTCTAGATGCCGAAGTTGGTGAGTTCAAACCCAGCCCCGGCCAAAAAAAAATGCAGTATGTACATATATAGTAGAATATTATCCAGCCTTTCTTTCTTTCTTTATTTTTTAAGACAGTCTCACTATGTTGCCCTTGGTAGAGTGCCATGGTGTCACAGCTCACAGCAACCTCAACCTCTTGGGCTTCAGCCTCCCAAGTAGCTGGGACTACAGGTGCCTGCCACAACCCTCCACTATTTTTTTTGTTGCAGTTGTCATTATCGTTTAGCAGGCCCGGGCTGGGTTCGAACCCACCTGCCTTGGTGTATGTGGCCAGAGCCCTAACCACTGAGCTATGGGCGCTGAGCCTATCCAGCCTTTATAAGGAAGAAAATTCTGACACAAACTACAACATGAATGGGTTTTGAAGACAATATGCCAAGTGAAACAAGCCAGAAGGAGACAAAGGAAAATACTGTATGATTACACAGATCAAATTAGAATGAGATTGTTAGGGGCTGGAGAGAAGGAGAATCTGGAATTATTGTTTAAGGGGTAAGGAGTTCCAGTTTGGGAGGATGAACAAAATTCTGGAGATAGATGGTAGTGATGGTTGCAAAACAATGTGTATGTACTTAATGCCACTGAAATGCACATGGAAAAATGGTTAAGCTTTTTTTTTCCAACTTGGGCCCAGGAGAATGGCTCCCACAAAGAAGGGTGTCAAGAAGGGCTATTCTGCCATCAGCGAGGTAGTGATTAAAGAATACACCGTCAACATTCACAAGCGCATCCAGGGAGTAGGCTTCAAGAGGCATGACCCTCCGGCACTCAAAAAGATCCAGAAATTTGCCATGAAAGACATGTGGACTCCAGATGTGCTGCACACTGATAGCAGTCTCAACAAAGTTGTCTGGGCCAAAGGTATAAGAAATGTCCCTTACTGTATCCGTGTACGGTTGTCCAGAAAATGTAATGAAGATGAAGATTCACCAAACAAGCTCTATGTCTTGGTTACCTATGTACCTGTTATCACTTTCAAAAATCTACAGACAGTTAACATGGATAAGAACTAACTGGTGATTGTCAGATACATCAAATAAAGTTATAAAACCATACACACAAAAAGAAAAATGGTTAAAACGGCAAGTTTTATGTTATAGATGTTTAACCCTCATTCTTCCCATGACATACTAAAGCTTTTTTCCTTTTTTTTTTTTTTTTTTTTT